TCTAAAAGGCGAAGGTGCAGCTAAGTGCCAGAGGTAGCACCTGGAGGTGCTTCCTCTTTGAAGATGATCACGTGGTGAACGAAACACGTGTCGAGGTGTTAAAAATAACGATTTGTTGTTGGGAAAAACTCCGGTAATATTCATTACTACACCAAAGGTTCCAAACAGCACATCATAAATTATAAATGCTCTTTATTATACGTGACGGAGTTTAGCAAAGCGCTATTCTTCCACTCAACCACGCAAACATTGCAAAAAATGGATAGCAATTTCAGGACAATAGTAAAAATGAAATACACATATTTATGTTTGGAAATTATGGGAAATAACTTCTTGAACCCGTGAAAAACATTTGTTTCCATCTACTGTTTCGAATATTACTTACCCTGAAGACCCCGATCAACATCACTGAGGATAGAATTATGGTCATTATCATATTCAGGATGATTATGACTTGAACTGAAATAAAAACAAACTTACGTGAGAAAAAACAGAATACACAAAATAACTCAAGTTTTTAAACAATTTCCAGTGCTTTCTTTCTGTAAGGTAGAACTGGGAACTCAGCACATATATGAACAATTATTCTCTTTGTATCATTTATCGCCCACAAGTACATTTAGCATACTTGGGAGATGAAAATATTTCAAGATTTATCTGATATAGAACATCCAAACGTTAAAATCTTTTACTCTTGACCAACATTTGAAGGACTGAAAATCTACTTCATAGTTAGTTAGATTTCAGGAAATTCATTTGTTGACAAGAGTTGCTTTAAAAAGGGGCAATAAACTTGCTAGTACAAGAACAAGTAAAAGATGTTTCAGCCAGAAAATTCTTCGAATTATATTCTGGGACTTCAATTTTCAAGAACTGAATCAATACAAACAAGAAATTTAAGAAACCATTTCATACGTACCTATCCATTTTGGTAGCCAATCAAATACCAAGGTTATGAGTTCAACTCTTACTGCCAGAACTACTATAATTCCAATGATTGAAAGTATCTGAAAATGATGTTCGTTTGTTAAATACATATAATAATGTTATTATATTATTGAATACTTCTTCAAGTGGGGTGGAAAAAGCACAAAACAGGTGACATACGCCCAGGTGTATTCTACCCCACTCTGGAAGAAGAAAGATTATTATTGTATAAAGATGTATACACTGTATCCTATTGTATATAAATATACATTATTTTAGACTGTATCAGGATAAATCATACGAATTTACATTTAATTTAACTTAATTTAATTCCGTTTTGTATACATCGTACGATTCCAATGTATTTTTTCTGAAGCTGAATAAGGAATTCATAAAAAAGTTACCAGATTTTTGTTTATTTCATACGACTTTAAACAAGAACCTCCTTATTAATATAGTTTGAGAGATGGGTGGTCTTACTTACTATTGCTGATATGCCAGATACAATAGTTCCAGTTCGAAGAGATCCACAAGCGCAGCAGCTTTCCAGAAGATATTTGGCCATTATTTATATATCCTGAAACGAAAGATTCTTTATTGAAAAAACACTTCATTGTGAGATATGCACTGAACAGTTTTACGAACAGGCAACATGTGTTTCGCCATACAATGGCTTCTTCGGGCGTGTCTTTACTCTTTTATCAATAAAAATAATCTTAGTATAAAAATTATTATGAATGAAGAAAAGAGAATGGAAACTTTATATGTACCAGTGTATATATACATTAAATGTATAAGTTTTAAAATGTCCTTATAGAACTAAATTGCGGTAACGTTAGTTACAAATGAAAGTGGTAAAAAACATAGAAAGTTCAATTCTCTTTTCTTCATTATGATTTCCTACCACGTAGTAACGGCTACATCCATCATTTTATTATTATGAATGATTGTGTGAGTTCTCAAATGAGAAAAACAACTCTCGATTTGATTTTGTGAAAGTTTTTAGGTTTTTTTTTGTTTTTTGTACTACTCCTGGAAAATGAATTTTCTATCATTTCCATATGTATTTTTAATGCTAATATAACGGAATAATCAATTAATCAGAAAAAAAAGTATCAATAGATGCACACCATTCATTCATCGTTATTATTCCATCACAAATTACCTGAAATGAATATAATTATTTTTCACTATGCTTATAGACATTTTAAAAAGTCCGCAACTTTTGTCGATTGATTCGGTGTGAGGTAATATGAGATAAAACTTCCAATTCATAGCCTCAGCATAAAAAAAAATAATGAAATGAAAAAATTCAATTGAAAAATTACAAAATACTGGTGAATAGTGAATATGAGATTCACCTCCATTCAGTCCTTTACAAATTTTGCTGTGTAAAAAAATTTTTACTAGACAGAGAACTGAAATGTCAGTATTTTGCCATTGTTGAAAGCTACTTGAGATACAGCATAATTACCTGGGTTTCAGCCGCAAGAGTACATATTACTCCTTTAGAGATACTACAAAGAAGGTTCCTCACACTGATAATGTCAAAAAACTCAAGGTATCCGTCACATCTCTTATATGTAGAATGTCAAATAATGGCTATTAGGTAATTACACTTCTTCTGTAACAATGTAAAGTACCAATTCTGTGGTAACAAAGCAAGCTCTAAAAGCCACCAATATAATACATGACATCGTGCGCAACTTGTTTACCCCACAATCGTAAAAAAACAATTTCACAAAGAGCATACTCTTTTTCCATAACTAAATTATATAATTTATATTACCGAAGAATATAAGAAAACATCAAAACCACTGTTCAAAAAAAAACTAGAGTAGTTCGTTTTTCAGACAGACAAACATATTGTAAAAAATTTGATGAAAAAACTACCAGCAAATAATAAACATTATATTCCTTTCCGCATCATCCCAAAACTGTGTTCCCCATATATAAACAGAAATGAGGTTATATATTTATTTATTTTCTATGTACTCCTTATCATTGAATATAATTCATTATACTGTATTACCCCCCTTTTTTTTTGTTTTTACTATTCTGTTTTGTGTCTCATTTATTACCTCCAAGTCTGTAATATATTAACAAACATTATCATTGAATTGTGTATTCTTTATGATATTTGATTAATTTTATTTAGATACATACGCATTCTTGAATTGTCACGATGTCTTTTATATAGATAATAAATAATGTTAGATAAAAAAAGAACTCTGAGGAATATCATTGAAAAAACCAAAAGTGTGATAGGCTATTTAGTTATAGAAGATACTTTGTATGAAGAAAAACTAATCTTTTGAGAGCAAATCCGTTCTTCAATGTTTTTACCAAACTTGGCTACTACGAGTACATTTTCCATGGAAATATTTGGAAATTAGGCACATCTTACCTGCAGCCTTACATCACTATGAGCTGAGTTACTATTCTAATCGAAAATGTCTCCACCGTAGACTAGGAAAGAAGTTACATCCAGATCTTCTATAATTAGAATAACCATTTTGACAGGGTGACCAAGTTTGAGAAGTTCTAAGAGTTAGTAATAAGCTAACCTGCTGAATTTTTGGCATTGCTTTGTACTACTTTGACGATTGATCAGTTCACTCGAGTAACTGACAGATCAAAACCCTGTATAAGGAAGAAAAAATGAAGAATGATATGGATTTCACCTGAGAAGTAATGAACTCCTGTCTCTCTGACGATATGGAACAAATAATCCACTTAGATTTCTATATCTACCGATAAGTGTAATTTCATTCGTAAAATAATGTTATCTAAAAGTGAGTTATAAAACTTCATAACCAAAATTGAACAGTGTCTAACATGGAGTCTATGACGAAAACGGCGTTAACTTCTTGCTGTTTTCGACTCTTCTTTTCCCATAATAAAAGTATTTACAAAATGAATTTTTGAACAAAGGAAGCTGAATAAATCCTCTATTGTTATCAATATTTTTAGTACAATTTTGAAATTATCATCTTCGAAAAAAAAAATAATAAGAAATTTGCAATTTGTGATCCGTAAACCACAAGACAACAGACACAAGTCATAAACTTCGTACTCTTAAAGCACTAAAATCCTTCATTTCCAAAATCAGCAGATCAATAATGTAAATTTACAAGTCACCATTTCGGCCTAGTCATTCGAAGTTTTCCCCACATAAACATTAATTTGTAATCTTGCGTACGCATTTTGTTGATACATCTACCAATGAAAAGCATCCTAGTCATCTATCTCCTTAATCGTACTCAAGAAATGTCCCTCAGTCAGAGAATGATTCAAAAAGCGGTACTACCATAAACGTCAATGACGAAGAATTCTGAAAAACAAGTGCAATGAGCTGCTAGCCTTGTGACATCACCGCTTTGTTCCAAGCTATATGGAAACTGAATTAGGGTATATCAATATTATTCACCGGGTGCTACAGTAAAGGAAGTTCAATATTTGCGGCTTTGGGGCAAACTATAATATTGTTTTTATTCATTATTCATTGATAAATTGAATATTTTTTGGCGGTTTCTTCACATTTTACCTTAATTAGTACAAACCGCTTCACAGCAGAATCTAACATAAACACTCCTTGAGTATACAATGACTTTATTTCACATTGAATTGCAATTGATGAATAGAGAGCATTTTGTTCATAGAAATATCGTGATTGTTTTTTTCAATTGAGTAAAAATTGAAAGAAGACAATTTTATGAGAAGTTTGAAAATTATTTGAAAAACGAAAATATCATATAGTTTTTCGATTTTTTCAATTGTAGTTGAAATATGGGCTACAACCAAAAACTATTGGATTGTTTCAAAAATATTGGCCGTTTCAATGTCGTGTGTTTTTGTAGCTCCATATCTCAATAGATATTTATTCTACTGTGTCGTGGTATATATTGATCGATAGAGAATTTTATACTCTAGACCAGGGGTCTCCAAACTACGGCCCGCGGGCCAAATCCGGCCCGCCAGTGTCATCAATCCGGCCCGCGACAGCCAATGATTTACTGTCATCAATCTGGCTCGCGACAGCCAATGATTACCTAATTGTTGTTACTATTGCTGTGATAAGTTGAAAAAGAAAACACAGAATGATAATTACTCAGTTTTATTTACTTGCAAGGTAAAACTTAAGAGTGATGATGACAAAGAAAACTTAACTTAAGTATCTAAGTTTAAGCATATTAATAACTAACAAATAATTGAAATGAATCACAGTAAAACAAAAACACTAATGAGATTCATGTAATTGTGATTTTCCACCGATAATACTTTGTAGTTGTGATCAATTTTACTTGTACCAATTATCAAAAGAGATTTAAGATGCTCATCGGTTAATTGAGATCTGTAAACATTTTTTGTGTACTTCATCTTGGAAAACGTTTTCTCACACAAGTAAGTAGTACCAAAAACAGAAAACAACCCACGAGCAAATTTATGCAAATTATCAAATTGTTCCAGTGGAAGACACAATAATTTCCATTTGGACTTCCGGAGCCAGGGTTTCAATGTCAGAATCAAAAGGATTTCGAAAAAGCTTAATTTCATTCGCAATGACATCAAAATCTGAAAAACGAGTATCAAAATTTATCTTCAAAGCACTCAAAGTTTCGATTGCAAAATTGACGGGAAATTCAGTCTCTGTAGTGTGGCTGAATATTTCACATGTTTCAAAATGTGTGAAACATTTTTTACGTAATTGCGATTGAAATAGTATTATTTTCTGCCTGAAGGATTTGATATTGGTGTATAAATCAGGGAGAAGCTGATTTTCTCCTTGCAATCTCAAATTCAGTTCGTTCATATGATTTGTCAAATCGACATAGAAGGCTAACTTCCACATCCATTCACTATTTTCTAAATCGGCAAAAAGGGCGCTGCTTCTCATCTGCTCGAAGTTCAAAAAAGCGCTTAAGGACTATTCCGCAACTAAGGCAGCGTACGGCAGTATGATATGGTAAATCAGCCCAGTGGATCTGATAAAGTTAACAACTGATATGACGGGTTTTAGAACTTCAGACATATCCAAACATTTTCCGCACAAGGACTGTTGATGAATGATACGATGTAAAACTAATGGTTTTGAACCACCATCATTTTCTACAGCCTTTGCAACCACTCCTTTATTTTTACCATACATATTTTTGCTTTAGGTCACGCACTTTGCGACTATCCTAGTCTACAAATATAGTTAAGGGCAGAAATTGGCCCTTGGAACAAACTGAAACTGCGTCTGGAGTTTAGTGTTCGACGTTTCGGCTCCGATCTTAGAGCCGTTTTTAAGAAGTTGATGTGACTTGACGCCGGGACCTCAATCTGCCTACTCCCCGGTCTCGTCACGAGTTCTCACTGAGGTCTCAATCTGCATATTGAGGCATATTGAGGTCCCGGCGTCAAGTCACATAATGGTGTTGGTTCAAGGTCTGAAAAAGTCATTATGCATATTCTCATGAAGGCAATAGTTCTGGAAATGTCCAGCGTCCATAATGTACAGGTTTGTTAACTTTTACTGAGCATTTCGACAGGAATATTTGGGGGCTTTTTTCAACAAACATTGAACTCTACTGA